GCAAATTGTGTATTGTTGTCAGTATTTCTAATTCACTCCAGTAAATAATGTACATGACACCAGAATCTCTTGTGTAAATAATGATTTACTGTACTTTAAATGAAATGTACAATTTAAAGACTAAGAAGAGAGCCATATCTTTTTCCATGTTAGATGTAGAAGACTTATGATGCCAGTGAACATTTAGAATATACATATAAACATAGGGGAAAGTTATATTTACAAACTTTTTGTTTACAAACTCTTACAAACTACACTATGTACTTTCGGAAGTATACTAAGTTACGCTATGTATTTCCGGAAGTATATAGTGTAATTTGCAAAATTTGTAAAAAAAGTTTATAAACGGATCTTTCCCCATAAACATATATTGAAACCTATTACACCCATAGAATTTATTGAAATCAGGAGAACTTTTGCTCATTCTCGTTGATTCTTCGACCGACCTGAATCTCCACTAAATGCGCTTCACTGTGAGTACATTCGTCCATAACATAGACCTAAAGTTTAAGCAATCTTAGAAACATGCATCAACCACTCCAAGAACTGTAACCTCCGCTTCTACCAAGCAAATGTCTTTCACCAGATATCCCATGTTTTGACTGGTGAAATTACTGATTGAAATGAATCTGGATGCACCATTTTCATTGTTTGAGGCACTAAACCAGTAGTTACCTGCAAGTAGGGGAAAATAAAATAAAGAACTGTTGGGTTATTGAATTGAAGATGTGCTTTTGTTTGCTTAGACTGGCGAAGAATGTTGCCCGGAATGTTAATAATTCATTCAACTAGCATTTCTCTTGAGGAATTGCACCTAATAAAAGTGTACCAAACTCTACCTTTTCCAAAATAATGCTTAGCTTGCTTTTGATCAATGATGCGTAATACTGTCTGTGCATATACTTTAGAACCTGGAGGAAGGGCTGTTGGGTTAGCTAAGGCTAGGTAAAGTAAAAGATAACTGCCCAATTCAGCACCTTTTCCCTTGGGATATAGTTTTACCTTCCTGCAAAAACAGTCTAACGACCAATCAGTAAATTGTTAAGTTGTCTGCTGTAGGTTAGGTTAAAGCAAAAATCCTTTGTTTGAATTAGTATCAGAGTAAATACCTTTTTGGATCCTAAACAAAAAAACACGGAACTCATTTTAATCCTTTAGAAAAAAAAGTACTCGTATTAATCCTTGAATTTTAGAGAAACCATAATTTCAGAAGAATCACAAGTTGGTTTTTTCCCCTAAGGTATTAAAATGGGTTTCGAGTTTTTTGTTGAGGACCCAAAAATGCATTTACTCTTAATCTTATTAATTTTTTTTGCCACAATGTATATTAATTTATCTTTTTTGTGGTATGGATTCTTCATCTTCACCTAAATGAAAGAGTTGAAAAAAAGAAGAAAAAAAACATGGAGAATCACATTGGAGTGCATCCATCAAGTTTAGAAACAAAATAGGGTTTAATTATTTTTACCACTCATAGTTTCCAGTATTGAATGGCTTAGAGTCACAACATTCTGAATCCAATTTAGGCATAATCTTGCACTAATTCGTCTTGTTTGTGATCATCATTCGCGGACCTTGCAACCTCTCTGCCTTCTACCGATTGAAATCGATCAAAGGTGCATTTTTTTTTCAGTTTTTTCAATTATGTTATGATTTCTGTTCTGATTCATTGTATTTTCGTTTATATCATTTGATTCTGTCCGAATTATTTTATCAATTTGTATGTCATACGCTTACCCTAACCCTAACCCTAACCCTGAATCTAACCCTAACCCTAACCCTAACCCTAACATGTATCTAATTTCTGATTTTGGTTATTTTTTCAGTTTAATAGTGTGACACAATGACCTCTCGACGCGTTTCAAAGCTGCCAGTGACCCATTCCGAGAGAAGAACCAAGAGTCGTCACGATGGGTCGTCATCCTCTCAGCCCCAGGCTGCTTCGAGTCAGGCTCCGGACTTGACGTTCGGATATTTGTTTGAGGATGACATTCCTTCACACGAGAAGTTCGTGAAGTTTTTCATGACCCGGAAGATCTGCGAACCGAAATCACTGGATTCGGCATTCTTCAACCTAGAGCGTTTTGACATTGTGCCGCTTCTTGAGCAGACACATTTACTTCACCTGGCGGAGATGCGGTGCCCATACTCGGAGGTTATGGTAAGAGCCTTCTACCAGAACCTTGGCTACTCGCAAGGCGAGCTGACTTCCCGTGTCTGCGGGATTGATATCATCATGACTGCTCCTATCTGGACGGAGCTACTGGGGTTCGATTTTGATGGTGTCACAGGAGCAGCACTATATGATGGAGACAGCCATCATATATTTGGTGATTATAACCGGGAGACCATTGTTACAGAGACTAGGAGGGCAGACGCTGAGCCCGGTCATTTTGCTCATTATCCTGTTAGCAACTTGTCAGTTTCTGCTCGCATTCTTCATTATGTGGTGACACATATTATTTTCCAGCGCCCGCATAATCACTCAAAGGTGCTGGAAGGGGACTTTGTCATCCTGTGGGCCCTCCTTCACAGTCAGCAGGTGAACTGGAGGCATTACATATGCATACTGATGTGGAAGGCAGCCAAGTCAAAGAAGGCTGAATTGCCTTTTGCATTTCTGGTGCAGAAGATTCTGCATAGATTTGGAGTGCCTATGGCAACAGAGACCTTGAAGACCGCCAGAGGCTGGAATGCTATATTTGGTGAGAGGCTCCTGAAGCAGTGTGGGATCCTACCGAACAGAGCGGGTATCTGGACGTGGAAGAAGGCACCAGAACCACCTGAGATCCCATTCCACCACGATGCTGAGATGGAGGATGCACCTGCAGGTGATGTGTTGGTCTTTATGAGTTTATGCAATTTTGTGTTGTTTAATTTTTAATGTGGTATTGAAGTTTGTTTTTCATGGTTTATGATGTAGGCCTTGATGATGATGACGATGATGATGGCGTTGCTGAGGTTGATGTCAGACCGACACGTCCCACCCGCAGTCGGCGACCACCAGCTCCTCCTGAGGGTGGATGGACACTTGATCATGTCATGGCATCCTTATATGATCTGACTACTGACTTTAGAGGATATAGACAGAGCACGAGCAAGTGGCGAAACCAGATGGACACAAGGGTTGCACGGTTGGACACAAGGGTTTCACGCTTGGAGGGTTTAATTGGCGAGGGTGCCCATACTCAGGAGGAGGAGGAGGAGGATGATGACAATGGGGATGACACACAATCGGATGAAGAGAATGGGGAGGACACGGCATCGGATTAGTGTGTCCATAGGGTTTCATATCATTGATTTAGTTTGATGTAATGTAGTCATTTTGGTACATTTAGGAACTTTACCTACATTGCATGGATGTTTTTGTACTGGATGTTCAAAATTTGAATGAATGAAATTTTCGTTTTGCGCACGTTCAGACTTGTTGGTTCTATGCATTAGTATGGGACCTTGCATTAATATTGTCATAATTAATTTGGAAATCAATTCAACCCAAAGTACTTTAATATTCATGTTCAACTTTGATTGGCGCACATCTTGATTACTGCATCCTATTTCTACGAAATCAATCCACCCCCAAGTCATACCGTATGTAGGTATTGCACAACAATTACCAAAATGCAACAAAAATTGCCAAAACAGCATCTGCAACAGCATCTGCAACTGGTCTACCCGGGTACCACGAACTAGTCTACCCGGGTAGGATGTACTCGGGTATATCATTACGAGTTACCCGGGTAGACCAGTTGCAGATGCAGCAGCAGGTGCTGTTCAATCCATTTTGTTAGCATCTTGGTAATTGATGTGTAATACAATAACCTTAACTGACTCGGGGAAGGGGTAAATGGGTATGGTAGACATTCGGATTGCACAATACGGAACGAGTGACTCGCTAAACTTAACGGATACATTTCAACAATACATTTCAACAACACAAGAATACAGTTCAACAATACATTTCAACAACACAATACATAACTAATACAAGATAAAGTTTAGGGTACAAGGAAACAAAACAATACGTAAAGTGATTGTCATTACAAAACAAAGTACTACACAAAAACAATACGTAATCATGCTTGTCTTAGTCTCAATGGACATGTACGAATGTTATGTCCAACTTGCTTGCAATGCTTACATCTGCTCTGACTGCTAGAGGGTTGAGACTCAACCCAATCCATCTCATTCTGAATCCTTGAAGACTTTGGTCTTCCTTTTGCACGTACCAACTGAGCATCCGGAATTACAGTAGGCCCAACAACGGATGGAATCAACAATTCATTGCCAATAGGAAACCAGTGTGCAGCATATACTTTAGCAATGGTTGGAATTTTGAAAACATGATCCACATAATCATAATGGTTTAGCTTGGCTACCTTGCAAACTGCTAATACATGACTGCAGGGATACCTCCTTGCTGTAAACCTACCACACTGACATGTACGATTGATTAAGTCCACTCTCATGATGTCACCGACCTCGTGTGTAGATTGATTGTAGGCATCCTCAACCTCAAACAATAACAGCTCACTATCATATATCCTCACACGATAAGTGCCAGCCAATTCATCATTTTTTTGCAACGCTGCCTCAACCTTCTTTGAAATTATCCAACCTTGTGAGATATCTTTTTCAATCCCTTCACGTCTCTTGACGAAATACTCAACGAGTCTACTGAATGTCATCTTGACCAATGCAGATATAGGCAGATTTCGTGCTCCACGAAGCACCTTATTCACACACTCAGATAGGTTAGTTGTCATATGACCAAACCTACGTCCTGTCTCATCATACGACCTGCACCATTGCTCTTTCGGAATCGCATCCAACCATGAAGCAACTTCAGGATTGTTCTCGATAAATTCCTTGTACCTAATGTCGAAATTTATCTTTGAACATGTGTACCCTGCAAAAAACCATGACATATGCATTGGTTAGTGAATTTCATCAACGTTTTCTTCAAATGGTTGAAAATGTGAGTAATTATACCGTACATTACCTAATTTCATCAACGTTTTCTTCAATTCCACATTCCTAAAACGGGTATTGAAGTTGCTTCCGATGTGACGTAGACAAAATACATGATAAGCATATGGAGGCTGCCACCCTCCGTGGTCTTTCACCGCCCTTATGATGCTTCGATGACGATCGGATATTAGACAAATACCATGCCTATGTGTGACATGAAAACGTAAAAGGCTAAGAAACCAGGACCAATCATCCAACCTCTCACCTGGAGGAACAACAACAAAGTCAATAGGGATGAGCTCAGAAATTATTTACAGTATGAAGTGGCAAAGAAGGGTCACATGCTTTCACATACCCCAAAGCAAAATTATTTACTCACCTGGAGGAACAACAGCAAAGGCAATAGGGAGCAGAAATCCATCTCCATCCTGAGATGTTGCAATCAATAGAGTACCTCTGTACTTCCCATACAGATGAGTGCCGTCAATTTGAATTATAGGCTTGCAGTGTTTGAATGCTTCAATGCATTGGTGAAATGTCCAAAAAACCCTTTGAAATACGGCCCTGTCTGTATAAACCCGACGTTCATCAAAACATTGATTTGTATCAAGTTTGAACACAGAACCCACATTCACCTCCGTCATATACTTCAGCCAATTTGGCAAGAATGCGTACGATTTCTCCCAGTCACCAAACAACTTAACGATGGCCTTCATTTTTGCCTTCCAGGCCTTCCTGTACGTTATGTTGTATCCATATGTTCCCTGTATCCTCTCCTGTATCAGAGCTGGTCTTGTGGATGGATCTTCCTTTAACATATCTGGAAAAAAAAATTAACTTTACCATATTCTCAATTAATCTGAATCATTAAATAAACAGTAGAATACATACTCATTATAGCCGCACAAATGACATTTGAATCCAACTGTCTATGATCCTGTGCTAGGCCTTGATTTAGGCATGTGTGACCTTGACCCCATTTACGGACCACCCAGTTAGCTCCCTTCTTCGGCTTAATTGCCCTCATATACCAGGGACAACCGTCAGCATGGTTTTTACACTTCATAACAAATCTTGACTCGTCGCTTTTTTCAACTATGGCTGTCCTGCGCCCCTTCATACAATGTATCTTCACAGCATGTTGCAATTCTGGTTTGGACCCAAATTCTTGTTGCACAAATAACGGATCTCCTAACTTCCAACCTCCGTGCAAGTCATCATCGCCATATAGGATCTCCAACTCGTCATTAGGGTGCGCCCAGTTAATGAATGAATAATGTTGGCTTTCATTCCAGAATGGCTCCTCAGACCCTGCATCTAAAGATCATGTCAAATTTAATAACTTACCACAAATAATAAATTGTCTAAAGCAAATATTCAAATTTAATAACTTACCACTACTGACTGGGTCGACATGAAGTGGTGACAAGGCTGGGGTACCGAGACTTACGGCGCTCATGTCAGCCTCAAAATTACCGTCCACGTCAGTGTCTGACGAATCACCTTCTGGAATAGCACTTTCAGGTTCTCCCTCATCTTCGCTGTCCACATAGTCCTCGTCTTCATCCTCTTCATCCTCATCCCATGCTACCTGAGGAGGTGCAGAAGATCGTACAACTGTATCTTCTTGACCGGTACAGTGTGCAGTAGTGGTTGTATGCACCGGTAAAGATGAAGATTGTCCAACATCAACTTCAACATATATCTCAATATATTTTAATACTTTCCATTCAACAAACGCATCTGTTACGAACTCCACATCTTCATCATCATTTATATCGTTTCCAATGTAGTATATTGTATCCATATCCACTACAGTCTCTAACCTGGCTATCATGCGGTGGATGGAATGTATGCCTTCTGACCCCATTTTTTGAAGAATTCTCTCCTTCAGTTCATTGCATGTAGTGCCCATTTTGATTTTCATCGTTTTTGTTTTTCCTTCAAATCGGACACCGTTCGGACCTTCAAAATGCCTCCCATTGTAGTAAACAACTATAGGAACCATGTTTGGACTTGAACTCATCTTTCACACAAAAATTAGATCTAGGTTTTGGGTTTGGAGGTTGGTTCGGATTTTTTAGCACAAAATGGGAGTGTGGAGATGTAATCTCAATGTCCCACCAAGATTCAGCTTTCTGAAATGATGAGATGAAATATGTGTGATGTTTCGGATTAGAGAGGGTAAGAGAGAAAGATTTGGGGTTTCAAAAACCCTATACCTCGCAACAATGGCCGAAACCCATACATATTGGGGTTTCTGGACGCGATTTACCCGGGTACACTGCTCCGTACCCGGGTAAATAATTCAAACATTTTCCCAGATTCAAGAACTCTACCCGGGTACACCCCTACATACGCGGGTAGATAAAAAGTTTCAAAATTTACCCGGGTAAGTAATGGTGTACCCGGGTAGGCTTCGTGGTCAACGGTCAAACAGGGGCAGATTGGTGTTATGTTTGTTGGGGAGGGTAAATTTTCGAAATAGTTTTGAATGAGGGGCAATTTGGCAATTAATTATTAATTAAGGGACATAAGGGTCAAAAAGCCCCGGATACACACAAAAATCGCACATGTAGACCGTACTTACATTATATATGTATGTTTCTCATTACAGGTTTTACCATTGTGTAGGTACAGTTTGTGTTCATGAAATTTGGTTCCATTTATGAGATCTGGAATTTTATATTCATTCCTGTGATCATTGAATTGACTGAATAGCATGCATATTAATTAGTTTTCATGAATTCTATTAAGTATGATTCAATTTTCAATTAAATTGAAAATTGTTGTAGGGGTGTCAGGTGACTAGTATTTTTAAATGATTAAATAATGTTCTATATTAACAATTCCGCCGCCTTTTTTTATTTCCCGTTACTTCAAAACACATCTCTTGTAAAAGTACTATTTTAATAACATTTTTTTGGTTCGGTATATATATAATATGGGAAAAGTGTTTATCCTTTGAAATGACACAACTTATATTCTTTCACTCTCACAAAGAAGATGAGACTCACATCTTTATTTTTTTTGTCAACTTTCACTCCTCCTTTATCTATCTATTTCTCTCTCTTAAAATGACACAACTCTACCTCTTTTAAAATGACACACACTTTATCCATATAATATATTTGTTTGAAGTGGACATGATAAAGATTGTAATTGAAAGTTGAAACATCGCAATTTAAGATCTTAACCATGCAATTTCACATATGAAGTTTGAAAGCCACGTGCAAACTTTGGGTCTGAGTGTGTGTTATTTTAAAGGAGATAAGTTGTGTCCTTTTAAATTTTTACTCTATATACTCCTGATAGTATAAAGTTATAATATGAAAAGTTACTTTTCACGTCAGCTGATGTGATTGAGAAGAGAGGAAAAAAATAATTTTTTTATTGTAATTATATATTACCGGAAGTATATAGAATAAAAAATTTTAAAAAAAAACAATTTATATCCTTTTAAATTACAAACACTTTTCCCATACTTTAACGGACCGATTCTCAAACGCATAGAACAAAAACAAATATATGAAAGTCTATGCTTAGAATAAAGAGTGAGGAAAATATAGCACCAAAAGTTCCAGACTGATTGATAAATTAGTGAATCTGAACTCTGTAAATGTAGAATAGAGTGAGCAAAAATAAATTATATGCATGGAATATATTCTTAATAAACTGCTATTGGTTAGCATATCCATGATTTTATGTTCAGAATATATATGCATTGACTTTAACGTGGATATTTCCCCAACATATTGACTAATCCTACGGACTTATTGTGAATACTTCAATATTTTATAATATCCAAAAAAAAAAATACTTCAATATTTTATCTCTTATCCATTACATGTAAGCATGACTTATTTTTTTTTAAAATTAATCCAAACACACTTTTATACTTTTAGTATAAGGTTGATTGTATTTCATATCGATTTCCTAGGTGGCTCGGTCAATCAATATTCATTAAATGAAATTCATATCGGTCAAATGTGCACTGATTGTGATTAATTAGAAAAATAAATTTGTGAAATTGCCATAAGTATAATTTGATCTAATGATATTGGAAAAAAAAACATACATATGACCCAAAAAAAAAACATACCATTAGATCAAATTATACTTATGGAAATTTCAGAAATTTATTTTTCTAATTAATCACAATCAATGCACATTTGACCGATATGAATTGCATTTAAAGAATATTAAATAAAGGGTTCAGTGCTTGTCATTTTAAGAGAGATAGACACAGAAAATAGAAATTATAGGAGAGAAAAAGTGTGTTGTTTTTTTAATTTAAATTTTAAATAAAAAAATATTTTTTATCTATTTCTTCTAAAATGACATAACTTTATATCATTTAAAATAAATCACAAAACATTGATTGACCGAGATTCATAGTGCCTCTAGGAAATCGATCTGATCTAGTTTTTCGTTTTAGAATTGTGACCGTTGTGAAAAGTTGTGACGGTTCGTTTCATGTTAAAATGAGATGAGACGACGATTCATTGCCATGCCTATAAAGAACCCAAAGTTAGCATCATTATGTACTAACAAAAAAGATGAATTCTTCTAAACTCTCATTGTTGTTCACTCTTTCCTTGATCTTCATTTCCTTTGCTCCTTTACCAATATTAGGCATCAATTTGTATGAAACTGTATGCAAAGATGCTGGGAAGGACAATGCTCGTTGCTTGAATCTTCTAAAACAGTACCCTGAAATAACTTCAGCCAAAAACTATGTTGAACTTTGTAGGTCCATACTTGAGATGGCAATAAAGAAGAGCACTGAAGGCCAGAATTACCTTAAGGGAATGATGAATAAAAACCCTTCACCAGCGATCAAAGAATGTGCAACCGTTGACTATGATGAGTTGGTTGGATCGTTCAAAAGTTCTTTGGGTGAGTTGGTTGAAGATCCATCAACTGCAAACTATGATGCTAAAGTTGCTGGTGATGGACCTGACACTTGTGATAGGGCCTTGGCTCAGGCAAAGATAGTTGATCCTTCTATTTCTACTCAAAATAACGATATGAAGTTTCTTAGTATTGTTGCATTTCTAGCCACAAACCATCTTCCCCAACGTCATTCTTAAGTGGTTATGTGGTTTTGTTTGCACACAATAACAAAACTAAAGGAGAGAAGGGAAGAAAGAAAGGAGAGAACGATCTATATTTTGATTCATGTGTTATGTTGGTTCTTTAATAAGAATTTTTGTCTGAATGCAAAATATGGATCATACCTATCATTTATCTCGTTTATTATTCAGTCCCAAATACTTATTTTCTTGATTCTCTTAACTTTTGATGTCATCATTTAGGGGAATTTTATGGGCATTACTAGTTAGTTAATCAAATGATGAAAGAGTAATCACTTATATTCCCAAAATTATACTTCTAAGTGGAACATGTTTTTCTCCCTAGTATTTTTTATGGATGTCTTTACGTAACACACTTTTCAAAAGTTTATAGATCAATTTGTACAATTTTAGAGTTTTAAAAAAAAAAACTTCAAATCACATTCATAATCCCAAATTTGAGCTGAAATCCCTCACATCATAAGTTTTTCTTTCTTTTTTTCATAGCTAATCGAAAAGCAATTTTGTGTAACGTTGATTATATTTAATTTTTTTCAGTTATGTAGATTCTTTTTTTTTTTGGTAACCTATGTAGATTCTTTTTTAATTATGATTCTCTCTCTCTCTATATATATATATATATATATATATATATATATATATATATATATATATATTAGTATATGGATGTGTTCAAGGCATTATTTTTTTGAATTTAAGTGCAGTACCGTTAGATCTGTTAAGAATTTTATTTTAACGCGGTCATAATATATATGAGAAATTTTAATCAGTCACAATTATAATAACAAAGTGTAACAGTTATGAGAAAAATTAAGAGGGAAGTTAAGAAGAGAGATAGAGAGAATGAGAAACAGAGAATGACCAAAATTTCCTTCTGCCATGTAATCGTAGTTTGAATGGATTGATTTTGAAACAAAACTCATATGATTCAATTTTTTTAGTTATTCGTTCGGTTTGAATTTTTTTTAAATCCGATCCAATTTTGTTTGATTTGCATTTTTTTAAAAGTCTAAAATTTCAGTTATATAAATCACTAATTATATCAAAATAAATTAGATCACCTTTATTTAATTTATTTAGAAGTGGCAAAGTGGGTGCTCTGCCCCGCCATTAAGCCGCCAAAAAATGAGTCCAAAAAATGAGTTTAGGTCGCCTCGCACGACTTTTGAAATTGGGCTAAAAAACTCGGCCCATCTCGTTTGACGGGCTGAGCGGGTTGGCTTGCCAGCTCGAGTCTATTTTAAACTGATCTGTCTCGCTTCGCCTATGCACGCCATCAACGTGCCAAAAAATGAACTCGCCCCCACTTTTGAAATGGGTTGTAAAACTTAGCCTATCTCATCCCATTTGACAGGTTAGCCCACCAAACCGAGCCTGTTTTGTCGCCTTACCTTTACTTAAAAATTATTTTCACCGTGTCCCAACGTCCCAAATTGATAAGTTTTGGGCAAAAAAGACCCCGCCATGTTCAGCCTCTTACTTATAACTTAAGTGGCTGTCATCATAAAATGTTGGGCTTTATGTAACACTATACTATTCCCACGGAACAGTTTGAGAGTATAAGATTGTTAATATAAAAGTAAGAGGAGTGAAATTCTTGGTACTAAAAAACTCCACTCTTATCCCATTATTAAATTCTCTCTCTTCAAAAACTTTGCAATACTCTCTCTCTTTGATTTGAACATGATTATGAAAATAATGGGTTGGTATTAATTTTTTTTTTTGGTAATAAGTATTTTTCTCCTTAATAACATAACTATTAGAATCACATGTATCTTTACTGCCAAACAAAAAAAAAATATTGTTTCTTGAGTTATACATGTATAATTTTATCTTTTACACAAATATAAAAGTAAGCGACATTTATATAGGACTATATGAAAAGAAGATAGAAAAAAAAATAATGTGCGTCCCATATATTTTTATAGGAAAAAGTGTGTGTCATTTTAATTGATGTAAAGTTGTGTCATTTTAAGAGATAGAAAAAGATGGATAAAGGGGTAGAGAGAGTTGACAAAAAAAAAAGGTGTGGGTCTCACTTCTTTGTGAGAGTGAAAGAATATAAGTTGTGTTATTTAAAAAAATAAACACTTTTTCCATTTTCCATTTTTATATAGGATTTTATAAGAGTTATGTTGTAGGAAAAGTGATTGTGTAATGTTATAGAGATTCGTTTTGCGTGCCATAGTTTTTCTTTTTTCTTTTTTCTTCAAAAAATTTGAGTCCCACAAAATGTTGTGTGTGTAGAAAAGTTTGTTGTGTCATGTTAAATGACAAATGCAAACCCATATGTATAAGATATAAAATTATGTGTTAGAACATCATAACTTTAATGAGGTAGGATATTTTGACTACTAATTTTTTCTACTAACACTCCACTACCATTTTAATTAGGGCTGTGCATGGGTCAGGTCGGGTCAGGTTTTTGTCCGACTCGACCCAACTTGGTTTTTATAGGTCAGGTATTTTGACCCGACTCGCTTTAATTTGATTCAAGTCAGGTCTGACTTGGATTGGATTTTGTTGAACTAGTTCAGAACCAGTTTGGATATGACCTGACTTGGTTTCTGAACCGGGTCAAATCTAACCTGACCCGTTTTTGACTTGATTTTCTCACAAAATTTTGTCGAAATTTTTACGTTGCAAAAGACGAAAATTTCGTCACAAAATTATTTTTTCGTCGAAATTTTTACAAAAAAAAATTTTCTATTGAAATTTAGTTTCCGTCAACAGTTTTGACGAAAATGATTTCTTCCATCAAATGTTTTAAATGAAAAAAGAATTTTGTCAAAAAATTTGACGGAATGTTTTTCGTTCATAATTTCGATGGAATGTGTTCTGACGAAAATTTTGACGGAAATTATTTCGAGGGAAATGTTTCATTTGAAACTTTCGAAGAAATTTAGATTCTCTAAAGAATTTTGACAGAATATTTTTTTCGCCAAAATGTTTTTTTTTGTCAAAAACATTTACGGAATTTTTTTATAGAAATGTGTTTCGTTGAAAATTTTGATTGAAATTTTTTATCAAAAAATTTGACGAAAATATTTAGTTGAAAATTTTCGATGGAAATGTGTTTCGCTAAAAATTTCGACGAAAATTTTTTTTTGTCAAAAAATTAACGAAAATTTTTTCGTCAAAAACTTTTGCTGAAATTTGAAATTTGTAAAGAATTTTGATGAATTTTTTTGCCGTCGATATTTTTTGATGACGAAAATGTTTCTGTCGAAAACTTTCGCCAAAATTTGAAATCTGTAAAGAATTTTGATGAAATTTTTTGCCGTCAAAATTTTTTGATGACGAAAATATTTTCGTCGAAAACTTTCGCCGAAATTTGAAATCTATAAAGAATTTTGATGAAATTTGTTGTCGTCGATATTTTTTGCCGTCAAAAGTTTTTGATGACGAAAATATTTTCGTCGAAAACTTTCGCCAAAATTTGAAATCTGTAACGAATTTTGATGAAATTTTTTGCCGTCAAAATTTTTTGATGACGAAAATACTTTTGTCGAAAACTTTCGCCGAAATTTGAAATCTGTAAAGAATTTTAATGAAATTTTTTGCCGTCAAAATTTTTTACTGGAAATGTGTTTCGTCAAAATTTTCAATGAAAATTGTTTTGAGGAAAATGTTTCATTTGAAACTTTCGACGAAATTTAGATTCTCCAAAGAATTTAGACAAAATATTTTTTCCGTCAAAATTTCTTATCGAAATATTTTTTTCAAAAAATTTTACGAATTTTTTTTACAGAAATGTGTTCCGTTGAAAATTTTGATGGATATATCCTTTATCAAAAAATTTGACGAAAATATTTAGTCGAAATTTTTTGATAGAAATGTATTTCGCTAAAAATTTCAACGTAATTTTTTTTTGTCAAAAAGTTTAAAGAAAATGTTTCCGTCGAAAACTTTCGCCGAAATTTGAAATCTGTAAAGAATTTTGATGAAATTTTTTTTCGTCAAAGAATTTTGATGAAAATGTGTTTCGTCGAAAGTTTTTAAGAATATATTTTTTTGTGAAATATTTTGACGAAATTTAGATTCCGTAAAAAAATTTGACAAAAAAAATATTCCGTCAAATTTTTTTTCCGATATGTTTATAGTCACAAATTTTGATGAAAATATTTTTCGTCAAAAATTTTTGCGAAAATTTTTAGGAAAATATTTTCCATAAAAAATTTTGACGTAATTGTTTTACGTTAAAACTTTTCTTTTAATGTAATTGTGATTTTTTTTTTCACATAATGGGTATGGGTCAAGTTTTGGGTCAGTGGGTCAATATTAAAACGAGTCAGGTCTAAAACTGACCCAAATAAAAGTGGGTCAGTATTTAAACCAGTTCAAAAAATATGGGTATTTATGGGTCAGGTCAAGGTCGGATCAAGGGCAGGGCAAGTGAACTAGTTTTTTTGCATACCCCTAATTTAAATCACCATTGGATTAAAAGTTATTGTTCTTTTCTCTCTCTTCATTCAACTTTTCCTCTAATCCAATGGTGATTAGAGTGGTAGTAGAAGAAATTGGTAGTCAAAATATCCAAACCCAACTTGAATATAAACAAAAAAAACAAGAAGATCTTTTCAATGTAAGGCTCAATGTCTTGGACTCTTGGTTACAACTTACAAGTACCGAGTCTGAAAGCATAGGGTACACACTACACAGTACACAGCAAGAAAGGGGGAGAACTCAAGTACCTACATCCATGACTTCCCATTGCAACCGGCAAAATAAGCATCCTATCCACACTCCAATCCTTTTCTTCAAGATTATTCCTAGAACAAGTCTTCAAGATGGAAAGCTTGTGAACATTCCTTCCTTCATCTTTTTTTTTTTTTTTTTTCTGGAATTTTATGGTTATGCTTATGAATATAACTACGCATGCTAAGAGAAAGTTTTTTTTGCAGAAACTCCCAAACAATTTCACTAGGAAATATGGTGGTGACATGCCAAACCCAATGTATCTCAAGCCTCCAGATGACACTGAATGGGAAGTATCTTGGAGTAAAAAAGATGGTGATATTTGGCTTCAAAAGGGTTGGAAAGAATTTGCTACATATTACTCCCTAGATCATGGTCATATGGTGTTGTTTGAATACAAGCACACTTCTCATTTTGATGTACGCATATGTGACAAGAGTACCCTTGAAATAGATTATCCTTTCCATGGCACTCAAGATGCACAGGGCAACCTTGACCAGATTAGTGATGATGACTCAGTTAAAATTTCGGATGAGCTACCACCATTCCATAAGACTAGACAGAAATCACCAATTTCTTCTCCTCAACCATGTAAGAAATTGAGAACTTGCACAAGTGAAGCAGTTGAAGGTACAAACTTTGCATCTGTAAAGAAAGAACCGGATGATATTTTTTTCATGATCAAATTTTCCTTTTTTCATTTCATGGATCCAGTTGAGTTTACATGTGAGGTCAAATTTTTATAACATGCCTCATGCTGTTCAAATTTTCAGACGATATAGGTGATACTACAGAATTTCTAAGAGTGAAGCAGTTCACTTCTAAAACTACTGAAGCTATAAACAAAGCCCAAACTTTCAGATCTAGAAGTCCCTCTTTCACGATTGTCATGAAGCCTTCCTATGTTGATGGACATTTCTTGGTGAGCTTTTGTTTAGCTTCAGTTGTATCAGTTAAGATAGTTTCTTATCGTTTGTTTGAAGCAGAGGTATAACTTTTTAGTTAGATTTTCTAACTTGAAAAAAAAAAAATTAAAAATCTAGCATGTCCCATTACAATTTGCTGAAATATATTTGAAGAAAGAGGAAAGGAATATCCTCCTTCAAGTCTTGGATGGGAGAACTTGGACTTGTAAATATAGATTCCCCAACATTTTTGGTAGATGGAAGGAATTTGTATCAGATAATGATTTGAAAGTGGGAGATGTTTGTCTTTTTGAGATAACCAAGATCCGAGACCTTTCTTTGAAAGTACAAATCTTTCCACTTGCAGAAGAATCAAATTCCCCTCCAGTTCAAGGTAATCCAAGTTGGTCTTTCTTTTCTAAAAGTATTATTCTGTTTGATCTGGCATAGTAATGGCTGTAATTTTCTTCCTTAGAAACTGTTCAAGGAGATGGAATTCATTGGTTTGACCCTGGGAGAGTACTGCATGTTGGATGTTTGAATATTAATAGCAGAAAAGGTAAATCTTAGACATCAATGCTGCATGACCAATTGGTAATTCATGTTTTAGTACTCCCTATAAAAATGCAAATGTAGATATTTCAAAATTGTGCTGACTGCATCCTTAAACTATGTGGTTCTTTGCCATGCCATAGATAAGAAGACAACAAAAAGATCTTCATTGCTGACTGGAGCTCTGAAAGAAGCTAGTGAATTCGCCTCAGAAAATCCCTTTTTCAAAGTTAAAATAAGGGCGGATAATAAATTTAGACCGGTGAGTTTAAGTTAAACCAGCAAATTAAATACAGATATTTATGTATGAAAATTTAATGGGAGTAGACACTTTCATGTTTGATTTCACATGACCAGGTCATGTGAAGGGTTATGAACATTTGATAGATAAATGAAAGGGGATAAGGGATCAAAGAGAAAAAATATTGGAATGTTGGTGGGGAAAAAACAACGTTTGATTTATTTATCAAAGTTTAAGAATCCTTCACATGATCACATAATGTGAAATCAAACATGAGAGATTACATTCTCTTTATACCATGCAAGCAGCAAAAATGTAGTTATTTTTATACTATCATTAACTGTTGGGCTGTGATCTCATAACTTGATGCAGAATGTACCATTTGTCTTCATGAGAGATTACTACAATAACAACATGATGCAGATTGTGATGTTACAGTTTGGAAAGAAATTGTGGCCTGTAAAGTTAGTGAGGACTGCAAATAGAGATCGTGATCGATGGAAGTTGTCTAATGGTTGGTCCGTATTTGCTCGAGAAAGTAAATTGGTAGGTGGAGATTATTGTGTGTTTGAACTCATCAACATAGAAAATGCAGTACTTAATGTTCATATTTTTAGAGGCCACGGTTAGCCAAATCTAATTGGAGCTATTGGTATCATAACTCTCTGAAGATGTATCACTCCTCTGGGATGCTTTTGGTAAAATTATCATTGTATTATATGGTAGTAATTAATACTTATGAGGCGTAGTTATTAATATTATGACAAGTAGTGTTATTTTCGTATAAATTTAAAAATGTTTGGTTTGCATTTAATATTTTTAATATATTTGTTTTACATTTGTTTAGTTAAACAAAAGTAAAAGGAATGCAGTTGAAAGAAATGAAAATAAAAATTTATCGTTGGGTGGGTTTTAAGCTAACTTTGATTTTCCTGAGATGTACTCTCTTTGTATAAGAATATAAAACAAACAAAACCTGTGAATGCTATTTTTCTTATAATATATCATGTCTAAATTAAGTATTTAAAACTTATATGAAAGATGAGAATGTCATTTTTTATGATTCACTGTATAAAATAAGTATTTAAGAAGTTTTTTTTTTTAAATTTTTAATCATATGTTTCGAATTTTAATCCAAGAAGATAAAAATCAATTTGGGAGAGCCACCCTTGACACTTAACTAATTGAGTTGTAATCAAGCGGTTGGGAAAAAAATAAATCATTCGTGTGTTGGAAATAGATATTATTTAACATGATGCGAGAGAATTTTAATTATATTAGAGTGAATTAAAATGATTTTATAATTATCTATTCTAATATATTTTTCTCTTTCTTTATTATTATTATTCACTTTATATAATTATAATTCCCTCACAAAATATTGTCATGTTAAATAAGAGAATTCATGTTTATAAAATAAAAAATAAGAGAATTCACTTCCAACAAAAATACCAGGTTTGCAATCATTTTTCCCATAGTACATAGCTGAATATGGTCGTCGTACAGTATAATGCTATAAAGTATTTTATGTATTTAATTGATATTTCAAAATTTAAATTAAAATAAAATACAAATTGAGAGAAAAGTATTTAAGAAAAAAGTTATAGTTATAGAAAAATATGTATAATTAATTTAAGGAGAATTTCAAAAAATTTAAAACTATAAAGATAATATAAAAATTAATTTAAAGAAATCTTAAATTTAAAATAAAAATTATAAAAAGCGTGTCAGTCTTCAAAAAATATATTAGATATTTAATCACCTTGAAAGAATAAATTTAATATACAGGGTTGGATTCATCGGTATAATTTGAGTATCTATACTAGTATTTTATCAAATTTTATATATTTTAAAATCATTTTAACTGGTCTTTTTTAGAATTTTAAATTTTAAATTGAAATTGTGAGTTTCATTAAACTTTTAAATTTTAAACCTGAAATTAATTAATTTGTTGTTTGAAACGGACGACGGAGGGCTTCGAAGGTGATCTGATCTAGCATGTTTGGAATATCAAAATTATAACTTTGCGAAAATTTCTAGAAAAAACAACGGGGTTTCACTTTTTTAAACAAAAAAAAAAAAAATGTTTTTGTAAAATAATTAATGAAATATGTGTTTTTGTTAAAAGTTAAAGAAATATTCTCTAAATTTGATTTTAAAAATTAAAAAATAATTATAATGTCAAATAACTCCAATAACGTTAGATAGAAATTCCCAGCCAACGAGTTTTAGACTATTTGCCATGTGTAGCAAAATTTAGTTTGACTTATTTTTCTTTATTGTCACTTACAATAAAGAAAAATAAACAAAAAAATATTTATTTTTTTAAATGACATAACTTATATCATAAGAGATGAGATTTATATCTTAATTTTTTTGGTCCACTCTTTCTTTTCCTTTATCTATCTCTTTTTCTCACTTAATATAATACAATTTTACATCTTTTAAAACAACACACATTTTTTCTTACAACAAATTTGATGGCCTACAATTTCATGGCATATGGAATTTAAAATCCACCGTGCTGACATTTTGGTAAAGTTTTTGTTCCCATAGCATACCAGTAAATTAAAAAATGAAATAAAATATAGTAGCACAGTAAATATCCCCTGTTTCTTAATTCCTCGAGCGCATTTTTATTACCACCATCAAATTAAAAATTGGGTGTGATAATAATATCATAACTATATATTCACTTGTATATTATGAAAAAATATTATAAAAAATATTTAATTATAATATTAAAATATTTTTTTTCTCCTATTGCTATTGGTCCGTTGTAGGTACCAATGTAGTATTGTAGCTTTTTTTACATTAGTTCAGAACAGAAAAGAGGACTACATAGAAAACTGATACCACTATATTTTGTTGGAAGAAATATTTTTTCTTTTAAATGATAGAATTTTATATCTTAATCATTAATTTTTGTAATTAATAGTTATAATTTGTTACGAATTATTATAAATTATAATTATTAATTAATAAAAATCAATAAATAAAATATAGGTAAAGGAAAAAATATTTGTCATTTTAAATCGATACAAAAGTATGTGATTTTTAATGAAACTACGTCGTTTTGGTGTGTTTTAACATTCTCTATCCTTCATTTTCTTTTTTATTTCTAATTTTATAAATTAAAAAAAATGACAAAACAAACCACCAAAATAACATAGTTTCATTAAAAATAACTTAAAAGTGACACAAAGTTATGACAAACGCCTAAACCCAAATGTAAAATAACACAAAATTATATTTTTTTTGAAAAATAAAAACGTTTTTCACTGTTTTGTTTGTCAAGGCTCAACTTATTAGTTCACAAGAACGGAGTCTGAAAGCTGAGAGAGAGAGAGAGAGACGTTTTTCACTGTTTTGTTTTGTCAAGACTCAGAGAGAGAGAGAGCTCAAGTTCCAACATCCATGGTTTGCGGTAGCAACGGGGGAAATAAGCATCATCTTCCGACGGCAATCCTTTTCTTCAAGATTATTCTTAAAACAAGTCTTCAAGATGGAAAGCTTGTAAATATTCCTTCCCTAACCTCCTCTTTCTCTCTACACATTTTCATTTTTCTTTGGGATTTTTATTGTTATGCTTATGAATTTCATTATGCTTTTGGAGACATTAGGAAATAACTGAAGTTGATTGTACAAGTGATTAGAAAGAAGACTATGAAATTTATGTGTTATGCTTGTGAATTTAATTATGCATGCTAAAAGAAAATTCTTTGCAGAAGATCCCAAAAAATTTCATTAGGAATTATGATGGTGACATGTCAAACCCAATGTTTCTCAAGCCTCCAGATGGCACTAAATGGGAAGTATTTTGGACCAAACATGATGGTGATATTTGGCTTCAAAGGGGTTGGAAAGAATTTGCTACATATTACTCCCTAGATCATGGGCATATGGTTTTGTTTGAATACAAGCAAACTTGTCATTTTGAGGTACACATATTTGACAAGAGTACCCTTGAAATACAATATCCTTTCCATGGCACTCAAGATGAACAGCCCAACCTCAACGAGGTTAGTGATGACTCAGTTGAAATTTCGAATGAGTTACTACCGTGCAATAAGACTAGACAGAAATCACCAATATCTTCTCCTCAACCACGTAAGAAATCTAGAACTGGCACAAGTAGAGATGTTAAGAGAAGATCCACTGAGCAAAACTTGCCTCAGCATATCCAAATCGAAGGCACAAACTTCGAGAATTCCAAATTTGGATCTGTAAAGAAAGAACCTGATGGTATGTATTTCGTGATCAAATTATCCTTTTTTTCATTTCATGCATCCAGTTGAGTTTATGAGGTCAAATTTTCATAACATACCCCGTGTTGTTCTATTTTTCAGAGTATATGGGTGGTACCATTGAACAGGACAACCTTGACCAGATTCATGATAACTCAGTCAAAATTACGGATGAGCTACCACCATGCCATACGGCTAGACAGAAAGCACCGATATCTTGTCCTCAACCATGTAAAATATTAAGAACTGGCACTAGTGGAGATGTTGAAAGAAGATCCACTTTGCCAAAGTTGCCTCAGCATGTCCAAATTAAGGGTAATCAATTTCACGGTACAAACTTTGAGAAGTCTTAATTTGCTCATGTAACAAAAGAATCGAAATGTTATGTATTTCATGGTCGGATTATCCTTTTCATTTCTTGGATCCAGTTGAATTTTTGAGGTCAATTTTCATTGTTCAATTTTTCAGAGGAAATGGATGGTACCACTGAATGCCTAAAAGTGGAGCAGTCAACTTCTAAAAGTACTGAAGCTTTAAAGAAAACCACAACCATCAGATCTAAAAACCCCTCTTTCAGGATTGTCATGAAGCCTTCCTATGTTGTTCGACATCGCTTGGTGAGCTTTTGATTTGCTTCTTTTTTATCCCTTAAGATGGTTTCTTATCTTTTGTTTGAAGCAGAAATATAACGTTTTAGTTGTTTGATTTTCTATCTCGAAAAAAATAAAAAATAAATCCAGCATGTCCCATTTCAATTTGCTGAAAAGTATTTGAAGAAAAAGGAAAGGAATATCCTTCTTCAGGGCTTGGATGGGGGAACTTGGCATTGTAATTATAGTCTGGGCAACATTGTTGCTGGATGGAAGAAATTTGTATCAGACAATAATTTGAAAGTGGGGGATGTTTGTCTTTTTGAGCTGACCAAGAGCCGAGGCCTTTCTTTCAAAGTACAAATATTTCGACTTGCAGAAGAACCCCATTCCCCTCCAGTCCAAGTTAATCCAAGTTAGTCTTTCTTTTCAAATATAATTCTGTTTGATCTGTAAGTATTGATTGCAATTTTCTTGCTTAGAATCAGTCTAAGGAGAGGAAATCAGTTGGTTATACCCTTGGAGAGTACTGGATGTCTGAAAGTAAAACTATTATTGCTAGAAATTTAAATCATAGACATCAATGTGTGACCAATTGGTTATTCATATCTTATTATCCTCATGAAAAGCTGAAATTGAATAAAGTAAAAATTCAAATATAGATATTTCAAAATTGTGCAGAGTGCATCCTTAAACTAAGTGGTTTTGTTGCCATGCCACAGGTGGGAAGACAACTCCCTGCACCTTCACAAATGGAGCTCTGAAAGAAGCTACAAAGTTCACTTCAGAAAATCCCATTTTCACGTTAAATTTTAGCCTGGGAAATAATCCGGTGAGGTTTAGTTAGGTTAAGCAGCAAATTAAATACATATATCTATGCATGGAAACTTTGTTCCATGCAAGCAGAGAAAATGCAGTTAGTTATATTTATACTTTCATTAACTGTTGGGCTGTGATCTCATGGTGATGAAAATATAACTTGATGCAGAATGTACCAATTCCCTTCATCAGAGAGTACTTCAATGAGAAGACGCAGATTGTGAAGTTACAGTTTGGAAAGAAATTGTGGCCTGTAAAGTTTTTCTGTTGTCCACACAAATATTCTATTTGCGGGAAGTTTTCTAGTGGTTGGTTCGTATTTGCTAGGGAAAATAAATTGGTAGATGGAGATGTTTGTGTGTTTGAGCTCATCAACAGAGAAGAGGCAGTGCTTGATGTTCATATTTTCAGAAGCCACTGTTAGGCAATGGCTAATTGAAGCTGTTAGTGCTGAAACTCTTAATATGTATAGGTAAAATTGTCATTTTATTGTAGTTTTAATCCTTAGGAGGTGTAGTTAATTAATATTATGACTAGGAATGTTATTTTCACATCATTAGGGCCTATAGGTTGTCATAATTACACATATTATTGCGGCAGGAATTCTACCTGACGGTTATATAAGCTGCTGAGATGACAGCAATGCATAACACTTTCAAGGTTTTAGTCAAGCAAATGGCTGAGACCAAACAGCAACCACCTGCTCAAGTGGCTGCAACAACACCAATCTGCTCACTTTGTTATGAAGCTCATTTGTTCGAAGAATGTCCAAGCAACCCCTCTTCAGCCTTCTACGTTGGTGACTATAACAAAAACTACAATAATAGAGGAAATTATAACCAAGGCAGATGGCAGCAACAAGGTGGGAATTTTGGCCAGAATCAGGGCCAAAATTACCATCAAAATGTTGGAAATAGAAATCAGAATCAGCCCTTCATAGGAGGGCAGCAACCTTATCAACCAAAAGTCCCGTTTCCACCCGGTTTCAACTCACAAATGCCTCAAGAACAGCAAGGGAAATCTAATGCAGAAACTCAGCCTCTTCCTAATGATCAGTGGTCAAACCGGATGCTGCAAAATCATGAGGCCATGCTTCAAAGTCATGGAGCAATCTTAAAAAGCTTAGAGACACAAATGGGGCAGATTGCATCCTCTCTTAGCAATAGACTGGTGGGAACTCTTCCTAGTGATACTGAAGCACCAAGGAGAGAGGGAAAGGAATTTTGTAAGGCTCTCCATTTGAGAAATGGAAGAGAGGTTGAACAACCAGAGCACGTTATTAGGCCTTCTACCTTGAGGAAGTTGGCAGAAAAAAATGTTCAACCAATTGAAGAAGAGGAAGAGCCTAATGTAATTGAAGTGCAAGATTCAGAAAATAACAAGGAGCAAGGTGATTTGGGAAAAACAGAAAAATCAGCACCTAAATCAAAGGAGCCAGCCAAACCTATACAGCAAAATGAAGGCATTTCACCAAGATCAAGGGCAAGGCAGATTCCATTCCCACAAAGGCTACAAAAACAGAACCAGGAGCAGCACTTTAAGAGGTTCTTAGACATCCTCAAGCAACTCCAGATCAACATTCCATTTGTGGAGGCCCTTCAACATATGCCAAGCTATATCAAATTCATGAAGGACATCCTATCAAGAAAGAGGAGAATAGAAGAGTTCGAAACAGTGGCACTTACCAAAGAATGCAGCAGCATTGTCTCTACAAAAGTACCTCCTAAAATGGAGGATCCAGGTTCTTTTACTATATGTGTTGTAGGAGATAGGTATATTGGTAGAGCTTTATGTGATTTAGGCTCTAGCATTAATTTGATGCCTGCTTCTATTTTTAAGCAATTAGGTACAACATTAACTCTCCAATTAGCTGATAGGTCTATTGTATACCCTGAAGGAAAAGTGGAAAATATTTTAGTAAAAGTGGAAAAATTTATTTTTCCAGCTGACTTCATTATCCTTAATTGTGAAGTTGATGAAAATATTCCTATTATAGTAGGAAGACCATTTTTAGCTACAGGGGGTGCAATGATAGATGTTAAAAAAGGAGAGTTAGCAATGAGGGTAAATGATGACACTATGACCTTTAGTGTTTTTAAAGCCATGAAATATGTAGATGATGATGTTGATGTTTGTTCTGCTATATCTGTAATTGATAATTTAGTTGCTGCCCATTTACACGAAAATTTTGAAATAAATGACTCTGCATGTGATTCTGCCATTTTTGAATTTTATGAAAATAATGCATCTAATCATGATCATGCATGTGCATTGAAGTCTTATCCTACTAAGTTCTTTGGTGATAAACATTTTGAGTCCTTAGGACTTCATAAGAGAATCACCAAACCTCTTAAACCTTCCATTGTGGAACCACCTAAAGTGGAGTTGAAAGAACTCCCAACTCACCTTAAATATGCTTTTCTAGGAAGAGATAATACCCTCCCTATAATTGTAGCTGCTGCCCTCAAAAATAATGAGGAGAATCAGCTCCTAAATGTGCTTAAAAACCACAAGAAAGCCATTGGTTGGACCATGGCTGATATTAGAGGCATTAGCCCTTCTTTTTGTATGCATAGGATAAGGCTAGTTGATGAAAATGCCAGTTCTATTAGCCTCAAAGAAGGCTCAATCCAACCATGAAAGAAGTGGTAAAAAAGGAAGTGAAAAGGGGACTGCTCATAGGGTGGCGATATGACTTATACCTGCTTTAGTCATATCTCATTTACTTTTTACTGACCAAATAAAGGGCTTGCTCTTTTATTATTATTTTTTTTCTTTTAGTTTTTTTTTTTTAAAATAATTCATTTCCCCTCGTAGTCTCACACAACGCTCAGCAAAGCAATTTTCAAAGCTGATCTCTTTTTCATCATCGTCTCGCTCAGAACCCTAGTTTATATTTTCCTTTCTCTTCTCTTGCCATCTAATCCCTAACTTCGAACTCTACCAGTAAGCTGATCTCCCCCCTCGCCGCTGTTCTGGTCTGAAAACTAGTCAAGCTCGGTTCGCTTATTTCATACTTAATCTCACCGGAGAACCAATCAACTCAACGCGGTCGAAGAACCACCGTCAGGCTTCGTTTTCGTCTTGCCCTCACTCCACGCATTTTGGGGTTCACCACTAGTAGAGTTTGAGCGTGTATCAAGTTTGGTTTCTGAATTTTATATTTGTTTTACTTATTTATTTTTATTTTTTATTTTTCAACCCTAATCTTTCTTTCACCACTATCCTCGCCATACCCATGTATCATTTGGTACTCTTGAGATAGGGCTAGGGTTCTGATTTGAGAATTTGGGTGGTCTGAATTAATTAAAGAAATAACAAAACCCTAACCCTCTTTTATTACTTTTTATTTTTTATTTTTCTCCTTTCGTCTAAAGTATTTATTTTCTCCTTCCACTCGAATCCTTGTCATCACCGACCTCTATTTTCCTTGTCCATCTTCGTTTAGCTTGCAACAGGATATCCGTGTTTGATTATACTATGTTGCACTGAGACGAAATGATATTTGAACTGTATTGCTTCATTCTAATTATTTATCTTATTTTTACAGCATCTTATTTGATTCTTATGGTCTATATTGATACATATTTTCATGGGAATGTAGACTTGAGTAGTTTCATTTCTCTGTAAACCATTATTCCATTTTGTTAAATTATCATTGTTCCTCATTTTGCATGTTAATATTTTTGGCTTTATTTCATTTTATTTTGTTAAACCACTCTTGCAAGCTAAAAATAAATAATTGGTTAATTGAATGAGTCACTCTTGCAAGCTAAAAATAAATAAATAAATAAAATAGTTGGAAATGAAATGAAATGTTTCGCAGGCATCTATTATACCATTAAACAAATAATACAGAACAATAAAACTCAGACAGAAAGCATGCAAGTACAACGTTGGATTACACAAGTACAAATTTTGCACATGAAATCAAGCCAAAATAAAATGAAATAAAGCCAAAAATATTAACATGCAAAATGAGGAACAATGATAATTTAACAAAATGGAATAATGGTTTACAGAGAAATGAAACTACTCAAGTCTACATTCCCATGAAAATATGTATCAATATAGACCATAAGAATCAAATAAGATGCTGTAAAAATAAGATAAATAATTAGAATGAAGCAATACAGTACAAATATCATTTCGTCTCAGTGCAACATAGTATAATCAAACACGGATATCCTGTTGCAAGCTAAACGAAGATGGACAAGGAAAATAGAGGTCGGTGATTGTAAGAACCTGCACCGTTAATTAAGGTATTTAATTAATTAATTATGCAAAATTAGGAAATGATTCCATAATTGACCCTAATAATTATTATGAGGCTTAATAATCGTAATAAGTGATTAAGAATGCTGAAAGTCGCTTTTCGGAAGAAAAGTGCGGATACCGGTTCTGCTAGTCGGTATAAATGCGTGTCGAAAAAGTATCCCGGAAAATTAATGTAAGTGCATGATAATTATCGAATAATATGTAGGACTTGTAAAACGAGTTTCAAGTCCAGATAATGAGAACTGGTGCTGGAAACCGGTACTGACTTGGAAAAGTGCGTACCGGCTTGGAAAAGCGCGTACCGGAAAAGTGCTCAGAAAATTATAAGAAAAATATGATAAATCTTAGAAAATTGTGTAGTTTCATAATCCAAAGTTTGGGATTAAAATGCTAAGCGTAGCAATTAAAGTTAATACTGTGTGTTTAAGTGGCTTGGGCTATAAATACCCCTTTTAAGGGCACAAAACCCTAGATACCAGACTTTGAACGTGAGTGTGTGAGGGTGGCTGATCAGCTTGGCTGACTTGTGAGGTTTCTCCTCCATTTTGGGTCCAAGACACTTCCTTTCTTGATTTTCTTCACACTTTCACTTGGGATACACTTGGTGAGGGTGAGAGCTAGCCTTGAGACTCTATTGTTGGTCTTTTCTGAGTTGAGAGAGCTGTTGTGTGTGAGGTTTTGAGGCTGACTTGGGTTGGTTGTGTGTGGAAGCCTTTGTTTTGGCATTGTGAGGTCCAAGAAGCTTCCTTTGTGTTGAAAGGTCCAAGCTTGTTGATCCATTTTCGTGCACCTTGTGGAGTCAGACTTGAGGGGCTGTGTTGAGCTCCAAGAGCACCTCCATTCTCTGTTTTAAGCCTTTGGTATGTATACCAACCTTTAATCATGAGTTTTATGCTTAAAAATGGTAGCTTGATGCATGTTAAGGTTAAAAGATGATAACTTGTTGTTGGGAGAGGCTTAACACATCTAGAAATGCATGATTGGGTGTTTAAAATCGGTAAAAAGGGAACCTTTGAGGGATATTTTCACGAAAATGCAGAAACTGCATTCTGTCGTGAGATATCCGGATATATGTCGAACTGATATCCGGATATTGGATATCCGGATACGTGGTTTTGGGATATCCGGATATTGGATATCCGGATATGTGAATCTGTATATCCGGATATGCATATCCGGATATGGACAGTGAGATATCCGGATATTCTGGGATTTCGCAGAACAGCAGCTGTGCTGTGTGTACAGTAGGCTATTGAGGGTTTGTGGACCCTAGTTTGATGAAGTTGAACTTCTGTTTTTAATGGATTAAGCCAGAATCATGGGATTTAAGGCTTGTGGCTTTGTTAGAAGCTTTAAGACTTGAAAACGTAATGAAAAGGCGTTGTCTTAATATTGTATGCTTGTGGTGCATATTGTTGATGTATTGTTGGTCCATAACAGATTGTGAATCTGCTGTGTTTGGACTTTGAGCTGTGGACTCTTGGCTTTTGGAGTGAGCTTGCAAGGTAAGCTTTCGTGTCCTCGGTTTAGCCATGTTGTGGTTCCACCATGTCCCATGGGGGTATGGTTTATGCATGCTGTTTACATGCTTTTGGATATTTGATATGTTGATTGAACTTTACATGTAATGGCTTTTAATATGCATGTGTTGTTTCATCTTGACGGGAAGCCTGAGTATGTAGCGCCATACAAGACGGTGTACCGGGGTGAATGCAAGTGGTACTTGCACGGTGTGTAGGTGATAGACGTATACCTGCACTGTCTCTGGCCAGTAGATTAGTATTGACACACATGACATGATTATCTGCTGCATTGCATTATTTTAGAAATGATAAATGATAAACTGTTTTTGAACTTATATTGCACATGTAAGTGAGCTTGGGGTGGAAGATCCTTGAGGACTCACTGACTTACTGAGATTTCTAGATTAGAGATCTTACCCCACGTTTGGGGAATGCTTATTTCAGGATCAGGTAGTATGGGTACTGATGCCTCAGGCGGCAGGAGGCCGGAGCTTAGCTGATTATCTTGTTTCTGCTTATATGTTAGCATGACTGGATTTGGATGCTGTCTATGTTTTCCGCTATTTATGTTATGTTGTTGATGAGACCGTTGTTGGGCATGTTGCCCTATTTGAGTGAACATGGGGATTGTCCATGACACTTTCTGTTAGTACTTGTAGTTTGGAGTTGTATAAACTGTTAGATAGTCCGGTCTACATTGTTGTAGTTCCGTGACTAGAGCCACACTTTTATTATCTATGTTATGAGGTATTTCAGTTAGCTGTTTTATTGCAATTACATACCGGCGATGTTTTATTAATTGGTTATTAAGTAAGTTGGTAATGTTAATGGCATCATAATTGAAAAGAAAAAGTAATTCCACATTTTTAATTAAGCGCAGCTTAATACGATATTATGATAACATTACCGGATATATACGGGGTGTTACAGTGATGACAAGGATTTGAGTGGAAGGAGAAAATTAATATTTTAGACGAAAGGAGAAAAATAAAAAATAAAAAGTAATAAAAGGGGGTTAGGGTTTTGTTATTTCTTTAATTAATTCAGACCACCCAAATTCTCAAATCAGAACCCTAGCCCTATCTCAAGAGTACCAAATGATACATGGGTATGGCGAGGATAGTGGTGAAAGAAAGATGAGGGTTGAAAAATAAAAAATAAAAATAAATAAGTAAATAAAATATAAAACTCAGAAACTAAACCTAATACACGCTCAAACTCTACTAGTGGTGAACCCCAAAATGCGTGGAGTGAGGGCAAGACGAAAACGAAGCCTGACGGTGGTTCTTTGACCGCGTTGAGTTGATTGGTTCTCCGGTGAGATTAAGTATGAAATAAGCGAACCGAGCTTGACTAGTTTTCAGACCAGAACAGCGGTGAGGGGGGAGATCAGCTTACTGGTAGAGTTCGAAGCTAGGGATTAGATGGCAAGAGAAGAGAAAGGAAAATATAAACTAGGGTTCTGAGCGAGACGATGATGAAAAAGAGATCAGCTTTGAAAATTGCTTTGCTGAGCGTTGTGTGAGACTACGAGGGGAAATGAATTATTTTAAAAAAAAAACTAAAAGAAAAAAATAATAATAAAAGAGCAAGCTCTTTATTTGGTCAGTAAAAAGTAAATGAGATATGACTAAAGCAGGTATAAGTCATATCGCCACCCTATGAGCAGTCCCCTTTTTACTACCTGCTGAACAATTTCTCAGAGGTGCATTAATGGTAGGGATCAACTTCTGCAACCTCTATTCAGATAATTTCATGATTGAAACTACTTGCTCAGACCAATTGTGCACAGCTCATTGGGCAAGAAGAAGATTTGAGGGAAGAAAATAAAATAAAATA